TATATAATAAATAATACAAACCAAATTATATCTAAATACTTAAATGTATTCCTCATATGTCATGTGTTTGCTAGGGTATTAACTATGCTTGAACCCTTTACATATTCTTTTGATAGCATTTTCTATTCATGATTGAGCCACACGTAGTCACAATTTGTCAGGATTTGGCCGTTTGTCTGAGCTGTCTATAAAAAGGATGAGTCAATAAAAGAATCAATAGAGGAAGCCTTAAGGCTAACTCTTTATATAGTGAGGGAAAGTGGGAGGGTCGAAAGGGTTAGACTTTTGCCTTTGATGCTCTTTTCTATTGAATTTGATAGGATTTTGAAAACATTTGTATTATATATTTTTCTAACCCATTTCTTTCTTTTTCTCTTCCCATTGCAGAACACATCTCCACTATGGGAGGACTTTGTGGCCAAGGCTAGCAAGCTGCACACATGTCTGCGGTAAGTCGATAAATCGGAATTCGATTTAAAAATCGGAATAGAAAACAAATGCAAACTCAAGTTGAATCTCAAATTCCAAAAATTTGATCAGCTTTAAGTTATTGCCTTATTTAAAGGAATTGTAAAAGGAGAGTCTGAATGAACGAATAAATATTGCAGCAATTGCAGACATTACAGTAAAGACTCAGCAATGTGCAACTACTTTATGAGCTCACTGTGGTTGTGTTGTAGCTTGCTTAATACATATATAAAGTCTTCCTAATGCATGCCTCACATTGAAATTACAGTATAGCCTTCCCCAAGTGGGATTAATGTGGTTTACGGCCGCTCAAGTTCAATTACAGTATATCCTCCCCAAAGCAGTCACTCGTTAAGCCAGGCAGTTGAGATGCTCAAAGAGCTTACAAATTTGAAATTCTTTTTGTTTTTTATGGGACAGACTTTACTGTACTTGAAAGTACAGTGAACTGTTTTTCATTCACATTTCATGTTTGTTTCATTCTGCCCGTTTTCTTTTCCCTCTTTTCTTTTTTGGCCATTTGCCTGGGTTTTGCGTGTTGTTTATAGTTGATTCTGTGTTGTTTTTAACGCGCAGACTTGGCCCCGATTTGTGACGCCAGCGGCGCTGTCTAAGCATATGCAATATATACATACATATATATACGATTATATACTCTTATACAGCTGCTGATTATGTATATAGCATTAATCATGAAATCATGCTAAAAAGTCTGCGCTGTCTGTTGTCTGTGAAAGAAATTCTGCGCCAAGTGTTTGCCCAATGCGCTTGACACACATACGCACCGTTGCCCGTTGTCACTCGAGCTATAAAGAGAGAGAGAGAGAGAGAGAGAGAGAGAGAGAGAGAGAGACCCAGAGCTAACCAGACCAACCAGATCAGATCACATCACAGCAGCAGCAGCAGCAGCAGCAGCCCAGCATCTTCATCTTCATCAGCTGCAGTCGCTCTTTGGACTGTCTGTCTGTCTGCCAGTCAGAATAACTCTCCCTCCCTCTCTCTCTCTACTCTGTCTGCTGCCGCTGCTATTTTCAATTGAAATGTCGCCCACGGCCAATAAAGTTTGTTGCAAACTTTATTAGATTCGCAGTCGTCGCACTATAATCAATGGCATCTTTACTTTGCCGTTTTTTTCCTCTTTGCATACCCTGTACATAAAAATGATGTGCTCGAGTGGCATTGTGCGACTATAAAAGAATCATCTTACAAGCATTTAGTTCATAAATTTAAACTCAATGATACTTTTATTTCCTATTACTTGAAATGTTTCCCTTTGCGTATGTCAACGAATTACTCAGAGCGGCAGATCATGCAAATTTCTATTTAAAGGGTATCCCCCATCAGTTATCCATCCATCTCCATCTTTCTCTGCTGTTACATCTATATAATCTCTGTTTGTTATGTATGTTTTCAGCGCTGCTATTCAAGCAATTGCCGCCTATTTGGATGCCTTCCAAAAGATCGCCGATGCAGCAACCAATTCCAGAGGTAAGTTCAAAAGTCGTAAACCTCATAGCAGAAACAAATTTCTGCTTGCCAATTATCCGTGTAAGCCTTTGGGCTGTGTGCCAAGTGGATGAGGTACATTAGAAGGGGTTGGGTAATAGAGGCACAATGCCAAAGCTAATTTCAAAAGTCGTTAAAATATTTAAAAGAGCTCTATTTGTTTGCCAGCCTTTAAGCGTATCCTTCGGGCTGTATTTCCTATGTATTATAATTACCCTAGGTGCCCCCCATCTATTCCTTTGCTTTACGATCAGCTGTTAGGTACACGCTCAGGGTTTGAAGGGAGATTAAAGACATTTATCTAATGGTTTGCCTTGTGTTCCATTAGGGACCATAGGCACATCTAACAGTTGAAGTTCATGCCTTTGGGCTATTCGACAAGGTACAATGGGTTACATTGGGGTACATTCACCCATTATTAATGCGTATTTGGCGTGGAGAGTGGACGACGAGGCGACGAGGCGACGACGCTGACGCCGACGCCGACGTCAACATTGCGCCGGTCATCGATCTGAATAACGCCTGCTCAGAGTTCTCTGTTCGGGTTCCGATTCTGTTGCTCACGCATTTTCTATTTTAGCTATTTATATTTATTTATTTGCGCCTGCCTCTTCACGCTGGCAGCTCTGATTATGCAATTGCTGCTCACCTGGGCGGCCACAACAGCAGCAACAACAACAACAACAGCAACTGAAAACGGGAAGCGACAGGCAGCTCCAGCGAATTTGCTTTTATTTCAACTGCTCTTACGCTCTGTTTTAATGGTGGGCAGTAATAGAGTAGACTAGAGTAGAGTGGGGAGAGAGACAGAGAGACAGAGAGAGAGAGAGAAGACATTTCCAGCTGAGATCAAAGACCACTTAGAACTATGAACGACTTGAGCAGCCGCTGTGGAAGTAGACAACATGTATTTATATGTCTATGGCATTTCGAGTTGTTCAAGTTGACATTTTGCCAGTTACAGTTAGTTAAGGTGGATAATTGCAAGTTTTGGAAGAGGCCTTAGATCGCGATTTAGACGGGCGACTGGAGATAGCTGTGAAATAGAGTTACAGTAAGCAAAAGTTATAAGTCGTTACAGAAAACATACAACTTGATATAGAATGAGAATATTGAGTTTTAGAGTTGCATATATAGAAGAGAAATTAGAGATACCTATCGAGTTCTATACTCATGGAATAAAATCATTCATCTATAAGTAAGGCATTCAGACAGACATTCAAATGTTTACTGTATGTCTGTTTACTCTCTGTTATATATTTACTTAAAGTACAGTAATCAATTACTATATTGAACTATTACTTATTTCATAAACCAATTCTATTTAGTCTACTGTCCTATTAGTCTATGCGTCAACTGGATATTTAATAATGCAAAACTCTAATTGAAAGACTTACTTAACCAGCTTTTGGGGTTCATTCATATAGCCATCAATCAGGATCCATTCCCTTCCACGCAATGGGCTTTGTGTTTAATGAACTCATTTTTATGCCTTCAATATTTTGTCCCACGTTGGCAGAGGCTTACCCTTTTCATAGCATCATAAATACTTGTTCATATATCAATAAATATTTCATAAATTGATTAAAGCTCTTGATTGAACTGTTTATGTTGTTCTCTCGTAATTATTCATAAATTTATTAAAAATGAATTTGTATCCGTTCTCGATTCCCAATGCGATTCATTATTTATATTTTATGCCTGCCTATCTCGCTCTCTCACTCGCTGCCTCTCTCACCCTCTCTCTCTCTCCCACTCATATGCGCTCTGGCTCATTTGCATATATTGATTTCATGTCACGTCTGTGCTTGCATTTCGCTTGCACGATAAAGCTCATACGCCCCGTTTGCCACCATTCACTCACACAGCCCGCCATAAAAAATAACGGCTAGGAAGGACTACGATTTGGGGCCACCCTCATAGTGTTGTCTGTCTGGCACATCAGGCACTCGCTGTACTTTGCACTCACTAAATGGTTTCATTAGTTTTAGTGGTTAGTCTGCCCAAGTAGTAGAAGTGCGGCTCGGCTTGGTTCGGTTTGGTTTGGTCTGTGCTCGGTCAAGCCTGCTGCACAGGACAAGTGTCAATTGTCTTTTGCGATTGTCCTCAACGAGGGTGAAACTCAATAATTTGCACATGGTTTTTGCCTGCAGTGGGGGTGGTTGTGGGCATAGCCGGGTGGGTTGTCCTCTATATACCCTGCAGACGTGGGTAACATGAGAATATGCGAGGTATAGTTCCAGTCTAATATGCTGATTAAGTTCATTTTATGCACTAGCTCAGTACTTTTTGGCTTATACAAAAATAGGCATTACAATTAAAGCGGCTACTTGAAGAGGAAGCGCATTCACTAGTCGTTTACTCCCCACACTCTGCACTCAATTCAATTAACTTGGATTTGTTGACGTCCATTAAAAACTTTATGTGGGATTAGCGTTTAGTTGTTCTCGCTCGCTGTGCCTATCGCTCTGTTCGAGGGTGCAGGGTATCATTTAGTCTGCTATGCTCTATGGTTAAACACAATTCAATTAACTTGGATTTGAAGGCGTTCATAAAGTGCTTTATGTGGGATTTGCCTCAAGCATCATATTTAATGAAAGCACTACTGCGGTCCCTCCATCGTCTGATGGAGAGGCGAGCAGAAATCAATAGGATAATGGAGCAGCAAAGGCAACTTTTGCAAACGATAATTAGATTTGAAATAGAGAGAGACAGAGAGAGAGAGAGAGAGATAGAGAGAAGATGAGGAGAAGCGTGTCGCTGGCTTAGATAGGCAGCTGCCCAAAGCGTCGCAAGTAGCTGGCATAATGGGCACAGACGAGAGACGAGACAAGGCGCGACGAGACGAGCCGAGACGTAAGACCGGTTGTTGACCGAGTTCTCAGTTTATCCAAATGCCGTGTGGCATGCAACGGCAGCAATGCAACGTATTATAATGGGGGTATGCGGTGCCTGGCCATGATTTCCGACAGCTGAAATTTCGCACAGAATTTAAACTCCAACTTGGTCGTCCATCTCTCCTTCCAGGTGCATCGAAGGAGATCGGCACCGCCTTGACGCGCGTTTGCCTGCGCCACAAGGCGGTCGAGACGCGCTTGAAGACCTTCACGAGCGCCATTATGGACTGCCTTGTGCAGCCGCTGCAGGACAAGATCGAGGACTGGAAACGCACCGTGGCCACCATCGATAAGGACCATGCCAAAGAGTATAAGCGCTGTCGCAGCGAGCTGAAGAAGCGCTCCAGCGATACGCTGCGCTTGCAGAAGAAGGCGCGCAAAGGACAGACGGATAACAGCCTGCAGTCCCTGATGGACTCTCATATGCAGGATGTGACACTGCGTCGCGCCGAGCTGGAGGAGGTGGAGAAGAAGTCACTGCGTGCGGCCATGGTCGAGGAGCGTTTGCGCTTCTGTAGCTTTGTGCACATGCTGCAGCCGGTGGTGCACGAGGAATGTGAAGTGATGTCCGAGCTAGGACATCTGCAGGTAAGTAACGAATAAGTTCAGAGTTTGCTTCAATTATTAATTGTCGAATTCCTTGCCTTGCAGGAGGCCATGGAGTCGATTGCTCTGGTCACCAAGGAGCCGACCGTGCTGCCCCAAGCGTCGGAGGAGCTCATACACGACGCTAAGGCCAGCATTAATTTATATCCCGAGTCGCCAGGTGGCGGCTCTGGCTCGCAGGGCGGCGGCTGTTCCAATTCCCTGGGCTCCCGCAAGAGTTCCGTTTGCTCCATTAGCAGCATGAACAGCAGCGGCTCCAGCAACTCGCCGGGTCATCATCACTATCAGCGTTCGCTGTCGCAGGTGCGAAGCAAATTTTCATTTAAAGATTGTGCAGCAAAATTATTCGACTTAAGCAATTGGTCATTAATGAATGGTCACATTTAGATAAATAATGGTCACATGTAGATAGATGATTGTGATACTTCAGCTGAAAACTTAACATTTTCATATGTGTTGTTTACTCACTTTTGTACCTAATAAGTTGTAAATTATTTTTGGTGTTTATAATCGTATACGTTCATAGCTCGTAGTATTAGCATGCGATATCGAAATGTATTATAGGAATACTTCCAAGTGTTTATTAGAGCTCATGCTCTTTGTTTTGTACAACAGTATGATATTTCGCTAGAGTATGTATACAACTTACATAGTCAAGATACGTATATAATTCCTCGTTTAATCAATGGTAGAATGGTAGCAGTTTTGTCCACAAGCTGAAGCCACAAGGCGTCTTAGTCGAGTTATCGCAACTTTCTATTGTTCAATTTTTATGATTCGAAATTGATTTGTTTGTCAGATATTTAATTAATCGATTGCCCAAGTATGTTGCTAATTTAATTGTGATTAATTTATAATTAGAGCTTAAACTGGTAACAGCTGATATAAATCTGAAGTGTAGTAGACTTGGAAAGCGAAAGTAAAGTGGGTTAACCTTTTTAATTATGTACGAAATTACATTTATGCGAGGGTAGTCTAACAAAATAATATATTTTATCATATAGTATATAGGATTTTCTATTGACTTGATGCTAAGCTCAGATATATCTGTATGAATATATACTGATGTGTTCATACTTACATTGACTATTTACAGTTAATCACATTGTACGACCAATTGCTTAAATCTAACTTAATTTTATCGCTGTATGCACTGCATTGCTGACTTTGTTGTCATTGTTGATGTTTATTTGATTTTGTGACTTTCATCCATAATGTTAATTGTTCTGCGTGTCTCTTGTGTTTTTTCGTTTGTTTACTTGTATGTTTATTTATTTGTATTATTTTTTTTAGTTTGTAACGCCCGCAATTCGCTTGAAACCTGGTGAATCCAGTGATAGTGGCTTTTGCTCATCGCCCGCGCTAACAACACAGGTTCTCATTTTGATTTATTGATTTGTGTTTTCTATTTGGCGAGTTGTGTTGAGTCTGTGCTGACGATAATATTGTCTCTTTCGGAATAGGCTTCCACTGCAACCAATCAAACACATGCTGTCTCCACTTGGCCGCCACATTCCCAGGATGCTGTTGACACTCTGCCACCGACTGCCGATCGTCCGCACACGATTTCCACCACCTACGAGAAGGGACATCAGCGTCCGCCCTTGACTGTATACACGTTCCAAAACCCCGAGACCATACACGAGTCCAGCAGCAGTGGCAGTCTCATAACAGCAGCTGCTCCTCCCGCTGGAGCTGCAGCTGGAGCAGCGCCTGCTGGCGGAGCTAATTCGGGAGGTCAAACGACGCCTGCTCCACAAAAGTCACCAGCTGCATCGCTGAGTCGTCCGCCGTTGCCAGTTGTAAGTTAAGACTGTACATGTATGTGCGAGGTGTGCTCGAAAAGTAAGCTGTATATAATTCTATGGAAGTAATTTTGCAAATTCTCGATGAGCTTACTTTTTGGGCACATCTGCTAAATACTCTSTGTCTATCTATCTATATACATCTAGCGCTTAAGTTATTTCTTATTATCTGTTTGCTGTTCCGATTCGATATGTTCTATATATCTATATAGAAGCCGGCACATGTGGTAAGTGGCAGTGAATGAAAGAGAGAGAGAAAAGGAGAAAGTAGAACCTACAGCGCGCTCTCATTTGCATGCGCTAAACCCTGCCCAGCTCACCATAAACAGTTGCCTTCGCCTCATTTCCGAATCAGCTTTGCTATCTTTCTATATATGTATATTATGTTTTAACTTTTACTAACCGTTTCCCTCATCACTTGCAGCGCTGCTCCTCGCTGGAACGTCCGCTTTCTGCGCAGAGCAATCATCGACAGAATAGCGGACAGAACTTGCTGCAGCGCCAGTGCCCCTCCCCGATTCCGGCTCATATCACGAAAGGTAAGCTAGGTCAATTCTATATATTATATAAATACCTTAAGCAGATATCTATGTATATATGATTCGATTCCGTCTGATGTCCGTCTGGAAAATTGTCTTTTTCTTTTAGGCTGCCAATCAGTTTACTCTATCATCATTATATCAAGATTCTATTGAATAATTTCATCCAGCCTTAAATACATGTATTAGTTGGATTGTTCTTGAATTTTTCAATATAAATATTATAATATTTCATACATACTATTTATGTTCTATGAAAATATATACATTATATCCTAAGTCGTCTCTGTCTGCTTGGGTATTTCCTCTTCGGCAGTTGTCGAAGGGAAACCTTGTTCTGTTTTCGTTTTTTTTGTCTCTACTATGTTGTGTCCTAGTGTGCACGCCTTTAATGCCTAATCCATTGAGTCTTACTAATCAAATCCTTGTGCTTGTCGCCATGCTGCTCTCTCTCTCTCTCTCTCTCTCCCAAACACCATTCGCATGTCTTTAAATGTCAAACACTCACGCACACGCAGAGCTGTCCGCCGCACATCATGCACAGCAGCAACAGCAACAGCAGCAGCAAACACAGCAGCAGCAACAGCAACAGCAGACCACGCCCACCTATGTTAACATGTCTGAGCTGGCAGCTATGAAACTAACCAATCAGCAACAGCAGCAATCACAACAGCAACAGCAGCAAACACAACAGCAACAGCAGCAATCGGCAACACCTTTGCTGCAGCAACAGAGCAGCATCGATTCAATAAGTTCACAGCACTCGAACGACTCGTCGACGAGCTCACTGCAGCAGCAACTGTTGCAGCACCAACAGCAACAGCAGCAGCAGCTAGCACACATGAATCACCATCAGCAACGCGGCACACGCTCCCATTCCATATCGTCGTCAGTGTCCTCGAATACGGCATCATCGCTGCACTCGCATCCATCCATCGACTCGGCTGTTGTTGGTGCTGCTGCTGCCGCTGCCAGCAACACGACGCCATCGAGCGGCTGCTCGACGCCACAGAATCACTATTCACCATTGTTAACCAACTCACCCACGTCCACTGCCGCAGGTACTCCCAGCAATGGCAGCATTGCCAGCGGCCTGGGCTTCGTCTACCAGGTCAGCTCGCCGACTCCGCCCGCCAGCGCCGCCCCCGAGGTGCTGAAGATCACCGAAGCGTCATCGTCCACAACGCCAGACACGGATGAGCGTTCACGTGCCTCGGTGCTGCAAAAGGCCTCGATGTTTGAGAAGCAAGCAGCAGCAGCTGCTGCCCCGCCACCAGCTCCTGTTCCAACAGCAGCAGCAGCAGTAGCCGTTGGCCCAGGGACAGCAGGACGACGTGCCGAGGAGCTGCGCGCCGTGGAGCAACAGGAAATGGGTAAGTGTTGAAGTCTTGAGTCTTGAGTCTGCTGCACAGTCTGCATCCCGATTGTTTGCAATCTCCCCCGCCCCCACCCTCACTTTCTGAGTCCCCAGCCCCCGCCCCTTTCTCTTGATTTTAAGCATTTCGTGATTATCATAATAAAAACTTTTACTTTCTTCCGTTTTCTTTTGGACTTTTTTTTCGATTCCTCCCTCTGCTCGTTTGATTTTGTCTCCCACCACCACGCACCATCTCGTTTCGTATAAAAAAAAATCAAACAATATATATTGCACCACACAACAACAACTACAACAACAACAACAATATCTCCACCAACCAACCAACAACTACAAAATAATTAGACAAATCTTTCGAAGATTCAATACAAGCATTAAATAATTTAATTGGCGAATTAGACTCCTTTCAACGTGAGATCGATGAGGGCAAGGGCAAGCAGCACAGCAGCAACAGCAACAGCAATAGCAACATCAACAACAGCAGCAGCAACAATGTTAACAACAACAACAACAGCGGCGCCTCCAGCAGCAGCAGCAGCAACGAGAACAACAACACCAACGAGTTGTTGCTGCTGCCCGGCAACAACATCGATTGCTGCGCCATCAGCAACCAGACGAACTCAAGTGGCTGCGGCACCGACATCTCCGACACCACCTCCGAGGAGCTCGGTGCTGGCGACGGAGATGCGCAGCGGCAGCGACAACTGGGCGCCAGCGACTCGGAGCTGAGTCGCTGCTACGTGAGCGAGACGAGCTCGTTGACGGGCGGACTCCTGGCCGGGGGCTACGAGAATCCCACATTCGCGCATTTTGCCAATCGAGAGGATCGCGACGCGGACATGGCGCCCAGGCATGCGTATGTCGACTCCTGCAGCGATGGCGGCAGCGCAGTCGTTGTCATCTACGACCATCAGATACCCAATACACCGGACATTGAGTTCGCCAAGCAGAACTCGGAGATTGTGCTGATGCGCACCAAAGATCCGCAGCAACTGCAGCTGCACAAGATGCGCGAGCTGCAGCAGTTGCCCGACAATCTGGCTGGTTCGCCCGAATCGCCGGATGGCATTGGTGGCTCCAGCGTCTCAACGGCAACTGTTGCGCCTGCCAAGCAGCGCCTCTCATCGTTTCGTGCTTCCAGCGAGCAGCAGCTGCAGCTGCTCGGACGCGCCAGTCCGCACAGAGGTACGGAAAAGTTTAGCCTTAGTCTAGAGCAGCAACAACCACAGCAGCAGCAGCAGCAGCAGAAGCAGTCGCAGCAGTTAGCGAGTGATAGCAGCAACATTGCAGTTCGGCGTCCTTTGCCGCCCAAGCCAATAAGCCTGAGTATATTCAATGAAACGGGCAACAGCAACAGCAACAGCAACAGCAGCAGCAGCAGCAGCAACAAGCCAGTGATACCTAGAAAATTTGATTTCAAGGCTGATTTAGATGCCAAAATACGCAAGCAGAAGCTAAAAGTGCAGCAGCAATTGCAGCAGCAGCAGCAACAGCAGCAGCAAGAACATCAACAACACTCACCAACAACACCAGCAACAACCAACAGCACAACAACAACAGCAAACTGTAATATCACTAAACCGCCTGCCCTTATTGCATCCGCATCCGCATCCGCATCCGCATCTGCATCTGTGAACAACATCAACAACAACAACATTAATCATAGCAGAACAGCAACATCTAATCACAGTCAATCATACACAACGGCAACATCAACAATATCCAATGCCACAGCAACAATTGCAACTAAGCTGACATTGCCAGCATCAGGTTCATCATCAACCTCATCATCATCTTCATCTACATCAACATCATCGCCCACATCAACATCATTAGCCACATCAGCTGCGCCCGCCTTGTTGCCCACTGTGCCTGCCAAACCAAACGCCAACTCATTTGTGTGCCCCACTGTCAATGCCCATGCCACAATCCCAGCTACAGTAAAGCCCTGCATAACGCCCAGGCCGGCTTCGTTGTCGGGTTCGTTTCGTTTCTTTTATCTTTTCGTTTTGGTTACTCTCACTCGCTTTTCTTCAGTTTTCCTCACGATTTAACCTTGGAAATTTTTGGTTTTTCTCATTTGATTTTACCGGCTTTGGTTTTCTGCATAAAATAAGTTTTCTTTCAGTTTTGTTCCACTCTAATTTGTGTTCCTGTTATTTTGTTGTTCGTCTTAACCTGGCTTTGGAGGAATTTCTTAACCAATTTCGCTCATCAACTCACACAGCACCATTTACACAAATACAATTACAACTATATATACATATCAAGGCTAAGAAATGTTAGGGAAAGCTTTCGATAAATCTGGATTGCAGCTCTATCTCAAATACGATCTAAAAATATTTTGATAGCCCTGATATATATGTATATAATGCTCACCTACACAAAGAAAACTGCACGTTACCTGCGACTAACTGCAACACAGCTTAATACTAAACTATACAAGTATATATAATACCGTAATAATCGCCAGAGTCCTGTGTATAATTGTGTTCGTCTGGTCCGTAGGCTTCACAAATAATCTGCAAAATTGTTGGGAAACTTGTCTAGAAATATGTAAATTTCCCGTCTTGGGTGTCGGAGTGTATCTAATATGCGATTGAATGTTGTGACTAGAACTGATGTATATAACAGACATACAGCTCTATATAWATATATACTATATGTGGTGTGTTCTACTGTGTGTGTATATAAAACGTTAATAAGCTAAGCGTCTTTATGAAAATATTTGCTAATTTGCCTCAAATTCACAGGAGGAGGTGGAGGAGGAGGCTTAGGAGCGGCAGGAGTTGGCTCCACACGCATTGCGCGTCGTTCTTCCATCAATCAGGCCAAGCCCCCGCCGCCAGTGAGGCGCAGCTCCTCAGTGACGCCCAGCGTTAATAACGGGGTAAGTTTAGCCAGGAAATTAATAAGTAACAACAAATTAATTGAAGTTAGTTAATAAATAATTAAGCTTAAGCTAAGAAAAAAAAAGATTGTCAAACTAAATTTATTTAAGTTGCAGCTGCAACAACAGAAATCTGAATTTGTTAGATATAATTACACAAATTATTAATAATTATAAATTAAATAATTCGATCGATACTAACATTGCCTTAAGTTAAACTGTAACAGCAGCAATACATAGCTGCAGCAGCACTGCTAACAACAGCAACATGAATCAATTTTTAACATTAAGTTGAGAGTCTTCTACGATCAGCACACAGTTTTCTATTTTCTATTATTCCTAAGTTAATTTTCATTTATTGCTTATGATTTAAGTTGCAACAGCAACAGCAACAACAACAGCCGCCGCAGCAGCAGCAGCAGCAATTGCCGCTGCAGCACAGCAACAGCAACAGCAACATTAGCTGCTCCAGCGAGCATCTGCCACCGCCTCCTGCGTTTCTGCTAGAGGCTGCCACTGCGATGCCCAGCTCGGCGCTGAAAGTGTCGGAGACGGTGCGCGCGTTGGCTGCTATGCGGCATCAGCCTGCCTCGCCTGTTGCGCTGCGTCGCATTCAACAGCAGCAACAGCAGCAGCAACAACAACAACAACAACAACATTCTCTTCAGCAGGTGTGTGCTTCTATTCTACGGCTTGATCTATCTGCTTTCTGCACATGATTTATTTTTACTTTGATTTCATTTTCATTTTCAATTCACACACTTCCAACACCGTAACACCAACAACAACAACATATTGCCTGTTTATACACCTTAGTCCATGCACAAGCCCTTGCCTAGCCTAGAAGCCGATTACGAGGCTTATTATAATAGCTATATGGAGTTGCATGCTTATGCTCAAGCCACAACGACAAATTACACACAGCAACAACATCAGCAGCAGCAGCAACATCATCGCTTTATTCAACAGCAGCAACAGCAACAKCCTCAGGTGCATCAGCAACATCAACATCATCAACAACAATTGCCACCAACGCCGCCTCCTTATCAGGCGCCGCCTCAGCTAGATGCCGTAAGTGCTAAGTACAATGCTGGCCACGCCCACTAAACAACTAAACAAAGAGGAGGCAACGCTGCTCATCGTCTACTAAAAAGTTTTAATTTAGTTTTTAAGCATAACTAAAAACCTAGCTTAGTTTAACATGCATAACTAGACATATAACATAGATATAGTTCAACCTGTGCCCACTTATAACGCGTACAGTGATCACTCACTCGTTTAACAGTAAAAGCTCTTTAGAGTGAACCAGCTAATCCCACTTTTATCTTAATCCCTCTTGTAATTGCTTGATTTGATTTATAAAATAAAATCCCTTTAAGCTCACTTTCACATTAGAAGCTCAACTTGATCCTCTTTATCATGTACAGTGAAATCATCTAGATCATCATCATCTCCTCTATGCCTTAAGCTTTTTCCTAAAGCATTCCCTTGCATTCCCAGAGGCACTCTAGAGCTTTTGCTGTTTGTCATTTTGGCTTAATTATTAATTTATTGGTTACTTTTTTCATTTCTTGTTCTTCACACATGCTCACACATATATATATATATATATATATATATGCAGTCATATCGCACCACATCGCCCTGTGCTGCTGGCGCTGGCAGCAGCATCTATGCACAGCCGAAAATTGTGAGCAACATGTCCAGCTTTCGCAGCAGCAGCCCCAGTCCCAACGGCCACGCCCATGCGCTGCCACCGACACAGCCGAAGGCCAATCCGAATCTAATTGCACAGCTCAATGCACGACTCAACAGTAAGCAACAACAGCAGCAGCAGCAGCAGCAACAGCAACAACAGCAACAACACCAACAGCAACATGTTGCTGAGGGCATTTATGGCAATGCAATGGGCAGCGAATCCATTTACATGCGCAGCGGATTGTCCATGCAACAGCAGCAGCAGCAACAGCAGCAACAATTTGACGGTAAATTTGAACATAAGCTAGCACAGCAGCAACATAGAATTTATGCAGCATCATCATCATCATCGTCGTCGACAGTCGTAGCAGCAGCAGCTGTCGGCAAYAGTGCAGCAGCAGCTGCTGTTGCAACTGTTTTAACAGCATCCACATCTAGCAACTCTTTCAATGCTTTGCCACACTTTCCGCTCTCTTCATCCACATCATCGTTGCTCTCTAAAGTCAGTTCATTTTCAAATTCATCACCAACATCGTCGCCAACAACAACAGCAGCCGCCGCCGCCGCAGCAGCAGCTACCAACAGCAACATGTCTCACTATCAGCCGCCTCAAGCGCCTGCAGCAAGCAACAATTATACAAATTCGTTTATCAAAAATACAGCAGCTGCGCAAACAGCAAACATGCGACAACAGCAGCAGCATCAGCAACAGCTGCAACAGCAGCAGCAACATTATACTTGCCCGCCGCCGCTTGAGGATCCCCCACCGCCGCCCATTTACTCGGCAACGATGCCAAAGAAAATGGCACGCGCCAATGCTGCACACGGCAGCAACGGCAACAATAACAGTGGCAGCAACATGTCCAATCACATGATGACCGCGACGCTGCCCAAAAATATGCTGCAACAGCAGCGTTTACAGCAGCAGCAGCAACGTTTGCAACATCAGCAGCAACAGCAACAACAACAATATCAACAGCCTTCTGGCCTTGCCATGGGCAATGGTCATGCTAATCAACGTGCACCCATGCCGCTGCCACAGCAACAGCAACAACAGCAGCAGCAACATCAGCAACATCAGCAGCAACAACAACGACAACCACCTTTGCCATCGCGTCATTCCAGCGTGCAGCAAAAGATATTTGTATCAACGAATCCATTTATACAGACCACAGCTGTCAAGCTGCACTCGACGCCGCCCGCCGCCTCGCCCACCTGCGGCTCACCTGTGGCGCTGGCCAGCATTTATGGCACCACAGCGCGTGGCGGCAGCAGCAGCAGTGCACAGCAGCAGCAACTGCAGCAACAACAGCAGCAGCAGCAATATTATCGCGAAGTTGCTGGCGGCAATAGCAATGGAGGCGCTGTTTACTATGCGGCTCACAACAATAGCCACGCCCATACGCACGCCCATGTGCCACATCATTCAAGTGAGCTGCGCGTTTGATTTTTGACTTTGACTTTGATTTGGTTTTGATTGCCGCGCTGTTAATTTGTTGTTCCTTTTTATTTTGTCGTTAATATCTTTTGCTAATTTGAATTGAATTGAATTGCATTGAATTTCTAATGCGTCGCCAAATTGCATGTTGCTTTTGTTGTATTTTGTTCAGTTTGAGTTGTGATTCATATGAAATATTAATATAAATGATATTAAGGGAAGGAATATTGAACCGATCAACCTGGAAGCGCACAAGGAGAACACTGAATATATACAATATATCACAACTTTCTCATCTCATTGCCTTCAAATCTGATCTGAATTTCACATCAACTCACTTCACATTGATTTTGATTAAGAGTTAAATCGAAATATGTATTCAACTATATTGGAGGTCTGTTCTCAAGGTCGAATGGAGAGAAAGGGCCCACAATAAATTTATAAATAGATCCGATTTAAAACGTTACAGACTTTTTGAACATACCTCGAATAGTTTAAGTAACTTGCAGTGTTAACTTCTTCAACCTGTACATAATTTACTTTGTCTGTTTCATCTTTTAACTCTCGAGACTCTCGCTCTAACTGCAAGTCTGCTATGAACTTCGACTTATCGAAGTTATTTTTATTTTTATTTTTTTATTTCAATATTATCTATATACATATATATTGTTTATCAGCATTATCTGCATTGTTCTTAATTTTATGTTAAACATTTGCTTAAGCTCTCTCATTTGATTCATAAACTTTGCAACGATTCTTAAACGTTTATCAACTCATTCGGTTTTTGCTTCTCTCCTTTTTTTATGTGCGCACCTTTGTGCACCCCGCATCCATCCATCAATCWATCAACACAATCAATCGATCGAACACCATTCGCTGCTTAGACTATGCCACTAGCACCAATATCGAAAAGACTGGCAGCATTCGTGCCAAGACCAAGGCTGAATTTCTCGAGAATCTCAATGCCAAGCTGGCGAAACAGGGAATGTCTGGACGTGCATTTGCAGTGCGAAATCTAATCAATAGCAAGGCCCTGGTAAGTAGAGCATCAATCATATATCACCTGAGGCATTTGCAACACAATTTCACTCTATACTCTTATATAGTAATATCATTATACTATACCTATTCTCAAACATCTACTGTGACACTATAAAATACTATGACTATACTAAAAAATACTATACCATATATTATGGTAATCTCTTGTATACTATGATAATTAGTAATCTCTACTATATTAATATATACTTGATCCTATACTGCGCACCTATTCTTATTCTATACTATACTATATTATGTACTACCTCTATTATATCATATACTCTATACTATATGCTGTGATTGTGTTGCGCGACATATTTAGATGTATCAGAATCCGCAAAGTTTGGCGCGCCCCAGTGCCCAGTATCGTAGACCACCCACCTATCCCAACACCAACACCAATACCAACACCTTTATCAACAACACCAACACCAATACCAACTCCATTCTCAACAGCAATATGAACAGCACTTGTGATGAACAGTGTTAAGGTATTCATTTTGTTTTCGTTTCTGTTGCGTTTTGTGTGCCTAACTAAAAGCCCGAGTTGAAATGCGCATTAACTGCATATAGTGTACTATATGTAAATATAATCCAGCTTCGATTAATTAATAGAAGTATGCTGTTATAAATCCCCAGCTAATTAGTATTCCCTTTTAATGAATTGCAGCCGGATCCGCGTATATGCCACGAGTCGCTGATGGATCAAATTAAGCGTGGAGCGACCTTGAAACGCAATCAAAAGATCAACGATCGAAGTGCGCCCAAAATACATTAATTTAATGAAAATATATATGTCTATATCTATATATATATATAGAATGCAAAAACAACTAATGAGGCCTGCTCGACTGCAGAGTTTTATGGCGAGTTTAGTTTGAAACTAAGAAACGCTCACACTAATTATAAAGTATACAACTAAACACATACACACATACATATATGAATATATATAACTGATAAATATGCGTATTTAACATATATAAATGATATATATGTATCAAAATTGAAACACTACAAGGGAGTCTGTAGTGTTGTTTTTTTTCGACTCTAAATTTTGATTTAATTTGGAATTCGTCTACTTTCCTATACCTAAACATACATATTTGTGTTAAGTAAAATAACAACAAAACTAATTGAAGTGTAAAATGAATAACTTCATCATGGATTATTTTTTTAACTTAAACTCGAATTTATTGTTAGTTGAATTAATAATATTATTATT